CACACATATGTACATGCACACTTGCATACATGTACACATAGCTGGGCATGGTGGCACATGCATTTAATCTGAGCACTTGAGAGGCAGAGGCAGGTGATCTCTCTGAGATTGAGGCAAGCCTGGTCTACATATTGAGTTCCAGGCCAGCTTGGGCTACAGGGAGACCCTGTCTCAAAAACAAAACCAACCAAAAAAATCAAACAAACATATACACAAATATGCCAAGGAAGGAAGGAAGGAAGGAAGGAAGGAAGGGGGGGGGAGGGAGGGGAAGAAAGGGAGGAAGGGAGGAAGGAAAGAAGGAAGGAGGAGGGAGGGAGGAAGTTAGAATGTAAGGATTGAAATGAATAAAGCAAACACATGTTTATATCTTACCACTGCACTGGTTACCTAAGGACATCATGAGGATCTCTCTACATGTGTGAGTTCAGCCAAAAAGATTAATATATCACCCCACACTCAAAGTTCCTGTTTGCACTATGAATTCAGTATGGACTACAAGATGTAATGACAGAATTTGAAGTGATAGCCCTGCTTAGAGATAGCCCATGTCCTACTTTAACCTCCAATCCCTCTAAATACGGCCCAATTTATCCCCAACTACAGACAAGCAAAGACCTGAAACTAGAGAAGATGGAATTTCAGGAGCCAAGCCTTTCCAGGTAATAGATAAAGCCAGACAGGCTATGAGTAGCTATTGCTAGTTCAAGCACAGCCCCAAGATCAGGTAGAGCCAGGAGACTGAGTCATATAAGTTCTAGGTAAACACAGGTAGGCAGCCCTTCAAGCTGTCTCCTCTTCTGAGGAGAAGAAATCCTCCATGCACAAAGTCGCTAAAATATCCTTCACTATCTGTGCAAATAGCGTCAATACCCTCCAGGTGCAAGTCACAGTTATCAGATCAGCCTGGTCTCCACACTCAAGAATAAAAGTTGTATTTTCACAGAAAGCTTAAGTTTTGACCCAGAACTGACTCACAAGTGCTCTGGTCCCAGTCCTGTAGGTCCCCAACCAGCACTCTCAGTGCTAGAGTTTCTCTTCTTCTGAAGTGGGAAAACTGCAGGGTGGGAACGTGGGTGTTATTCACCTGTCATGATGAGTGAGGCTCCAAAGCCAAGACTGAAGAATTACTTCCGTAAATCTTTTTGTTTTGAGTTGTCAGACAAGCACATCATAAACTTGAAAAGTTCGACCACCTTTATAGTAAAAGTCATTAACTTCCAGAAAGAGGGCCCTCCTAGCATTAATCACCCGAAGTCATACAGTATCAGTAACTGTTCTGTTACTCTGATAAAACACTACGACCAAGGCAACTTCTAGAAGGAAGAGTTTATTTGGCTATGGTTCCAGAGGGTAAGAGTCCATCATGGTGGGGGAGGCATGGCAGGAGGCAGCTGCAGCAGAAAGCTGAGCACTCACATCTTCAGGTGGGCACAGGAAGCAGAGAGCAAAACTGGAGCTAGGCTAAGGCTATGAATGCTAAAAGTCCATCTGCAGTGACATACTTCTCCAGCAAGGCCACACCACCTGAAGGTTCCATGACCTTCACCAAACAGCACCACCGACTGACAAAGTATTCAAACACTTAGAGCCTATGGAGGACACTTATTCAAACCACTGTGCACACATACCTATGTTTATAACAATGGGATGTAGGCAGCTGACTGGGAAGTTTGTATGCATCCTCATATTAAATATGAACCAGAGGGCTAGAACAATGGCTCAGTGGTTAAGAGCATTGGCTGCTCCTGCAGAGGACCCGGGTTTGATTCCAGCACCCACATGTTGGCTAACAACCATCTATAACTACAGTTCCAGTGGATCCAATGCCCTCTTCTGACTTCTGTGGGCACTGTGCAATATAGGTGCACCTACCTACATGCAAGCAATACACTCATACACATAAAATAAAAACAATAAATAAAATATTTTAAATATGGACTAACTTGTAAAAAATAATCCTCACTTTTCAAAAAAACAAAATCAAATCTCCCCCTCCTTTTTTGTCTATTAAAATGTCTACATGCAACATAAAATTATTCTAAATTGGGGCTGGAGAAATGGCTTAGCAGTTAGGAGCACTGGTTGTTCTTGCAGAAGACCGGGGTTTGAATCCCAGCGCCCACATGGCAGCTAACAACTGTCCCTAACTCCAGTTCCAGGGAATCCAACAACCTCTTCTGACCTCCGCAGACACTGCACAACACGGGTGCACTTACCTACATACAGGCAATACCTGCATACACATAAAAAATAAAAATAATAAATAAAATTTTTAAAAAATTACTCTAAATTAAATATTCTAAAATTTCAGAGGTAATAGCAAAGGCATCCGAGAAATTCTCCCAAGAACACAGTAATGCTGAAGCCCACATGCTCAGACTACACAACTTGCAAACCTCTGCTTGCCAGAGTGTGACAGTAAGACTTACTGGTGTTCCTGCCTGTCCAGACCTCACAATAATCCCTAGTTGAGTCAGGATGGGCTTAAACCAGACTGGAACCCTAAAGGTTCAGCAGTATGAATCCACAAATGTTGACCTACCCCAGAAGCTCCATGTCAGAGTTGTTATGACTAAATTTTTTAGATTTTTTTTCTAAATCTATCATTTTAATTTTTCGTATTTTATTTTATTTTGTTTTTAGTGTTTTGCCTGCATGTATGTATGTGTGCCACATGTGTACAATGCCCACTGAAGTCAGAAGAGGGCATCAGATCCTCTGGAAAAAGAACGGTTGCTAGCTGTCATGTGGGTGCTGGGAACCAAACCTGGGTCCTCTTCAAGAGCAGCTAGGGCTCTTAACTGCTGAGCTCCAGCCCTAGAGTAAACTTTTCATCCAAATTCCTGGGCTCTGCAGGCCACTGGGTTTCTACTTTGACTAGAATGTCAGTTTCTTATTGATAAATGCTGAGGGGGGGTTTCTTTTGTCTCTAAAAAGCTGACACCCACCCCCATTTCATTATCCCATCCTGGGACCAGAGCCTGCCCATTAACAGTGGCAGGGACATTGCCCCTTAGCAACCATCTGGCTTTGCCACCATATGCTGGGCCTGTCACCCTGAATGTTATGTCTCAGTATCAACATTGGCTCACTGTATAACCACTAAGTCCTCTAGTTAGCACCTCCAATTAGGACAGGTTCCAAACTCTGCTTCCAGAATTAGTCCAGATCCTAGCTCTATCCCACACATCTATCATATAAGAGGTCAAAGAAAGGCCTATTCATTGCCTTGGATATGATAGACAGGCCTAAGAGAGACTTCACAATTATGAATTTGAGTGACATCATGGTTGAGGAAATGGTGCTTTGATAACTGGGATAGGCACTTGTCTTCCAGCTCTGAAGAGGGTGGAATGGTCTCAGTCCTCTCAGTGGCACCACAGGGTACTAAGTAAAAGGGCAATTTGGCTCTGTAGGGACAGAAAGCACCAAATGGTGCAGTGCCCTCTGTCCCCATTTTCCCCTACTACCACTTCTGCACAGTGAAGTCCAAGATGAAGCAGTCCCCTGAGGCCTAGAGTTCCTCAGTCTCAACACCAGTCCTTCCATGAATAGTCTCCTTCAGCATGCAAGGGACTCAGGACTCCTCCTATCAGAGAGGGTAGCCATTTCTTTTCATACCTTGGAACAAAATTAAACACAAATACACAGGTAAGAATATTACTATGAAAGGACACAGAGGCCAGACATATTCAAGAACTATATTTCTCTCATCCTAACAAGAAGCTATCATTGCTTTTGGCAGATGAAGAAAACTGAAGAGCAAAGAGGTGAAAACACTCGCCTGTGATCACATAATGAGTAAGATCAAACCAAAACCTCCTGCCTCCAGTATTCATGAATTTTTCACATAGTCATATGATTACAACCTTATAGAAAGCACATATTTTTCAAAAATTGAAAAGACTGAAAAATGTACCAAAAGGAAAACACAGAGTTGTGAAAATAATGGAATCATGGGTGACTTTTTACCCCTTGGTTTCCATTTTCTTGATTTTATTAAGAATGTCAATTAGGAATTAGGAGGCTGGAGAATTAGTTCAGCAGTTAAGAGTACTTGCTGCTCTTCCAGAAGACCTGGGTTCAGTTCCCAACACCCACATGGTAGCTAACAACCACCTGTAACTCCAATTCCGGAGATCCGATGCTCTCTTCTGGCCTCCATGGGCACTGCATGAATGTGGTGCACTTACATGCAGGCAAGAGACTCATACACATAAAATAAAAATAAATAAAATATTTTATGAGTATGAATTAAATAATAAAATACTATTTATAAACAAAATTGCATGTGTATCAGTAAAAGGATATTTTCCATTGCTTTTGTTATAATTTCTTAGGAAAAACAAAATGGGAGGGCAGGTGTGGTGGAATATGCCTATAATCCCAGCACTTGGGAGGCTAAGGTAAAAGGATCATAAGTTCAAGGCCAGACTACACTACATAACAATACACTACCACAAAAAACCAAATGAGGGAGGGGAGGGGATGAAGGAAGGAAGAAGAAAGGGGAGAAGAGGGGAGGGAGGATGGGAATAGTGCTAATCAGTGCTTCTCATTGATAGGCACACAGAGGATGACACTCTAAGGTACCACATGTCCAATGGGGCTATAGACTGATCCTGTAGTTTTGGAGCCAGAACCTTGAATTATAGGGTCAAGAATTGCCAGAGTTCCTTCCCTTACTTTAGGAATTCTTGAACCATATGTGGAGATAGAACCTCTATTAGCCTGGATCCCAACATAACAAGGATGGCAGCATATCAGTGCCAACCTGTGTGGACATGCAGCATAACTAAGAAATGGCACATTCTGCTGTAAGCCTCTTAATGTGGCTGTTGTTTCTTCAACATTTATTTATTTGGGGGAGTGGAAGGAGCATACATGCCACATGACCTCCCAAATAGAGGTCAACTTGTAGGAGTCCGTTCTCTCCTTCCACCATATGGGTTCCGGGGATCAAACCTGGGTTGGCAGACTGTGGCAAGAGCCTTTACCTGCTGAGCCATCTCCTCGGCCCCTGAGTTGTTCCTTAACACCAGGCCAGTCCACATGGTTCTTTACTACAGGAGAATGAAGAGATGAGCCTGTAATGAGGTAAAAGATGCAACAAAAACCCAGGTCCTCAGAGCTCAACCAACATGTTATACAGCCCTCTGTACCTCAGCTTCTCCAACCACACAGTTCAATATTTTGTGGATTCAACCAATATGTGCTCAGTAACTGTTTACTGAATAAATTAATGAGTGATTGAGTTAATATCTAAAAATTAACAATTGGCTTTGTCTTCAGGTGGCCATCTTGGTAGCAGAGGGCTTTGCTTATTTCAATCTGAGGCATTAAAGATTGAGCCCCAGCTGGAAAAGTATAAAGATGTCTGCAAACACAGACTGGCTGGGGGCAGAGTAAGTGGAGGGGATGGGTTTGACTGTGCACATAAATTCTCAAAGGGCTATTTTGCTGTGACTCAAAGGCCCAAACTCCTACCAATTATGACAGTTTGCTTTAGTTTCATTTAGTTTTTTATTGCCTATAAACAGAAAATTCCTCAAGTTAAGTCAGCCTGGGGAAATTAAAATCCCTATGTGTCATAATTGAAAGGCTGGATGGGGCCCTTGTATGGGGCTTTTCCTCAGAAAGCCAAGATACAAAATAAAATCCCCAGGTCTGCTCACTGGTACCAGCAAGGTTAGTCTTCTAGAAACTGCACATCTATATATTTAAATAATCCTATGACCATAGAAGCAAAGGTTTGGTAAGAAGTGAACAGTAGTTAATGAGTAAAGAGTCTTTCCATTTTCTTCTGATAGTCTCTAATTTCTTAAACTGTACCCAGTATTCGACTTTTAATTTAATCTGATACCTCACTAAATGTATTATTACTGCCAAAAATAAAGAGGCAGAACAGCTGATAATAGACAACATAAGTCTTTCAAGATACCCTAATTCTGCATCTTTATAAAAACAAGACTATACACAATCTAGTATAAGAATGAAGTACTTCCAAAATGCTTAAAGGAAATCCAGACTTTTTTCTTTTAAGGTTACCTGTTTGAAAAATGAATAAAGAAAGATGATCAATCAATGAAAGAAATGATCAATTCCTCTGGCCAAGCAAAATTTGGATTAATTTAATATTCTAATGATTTCAGGGTTGTTTCTCCCAGAATAAGTTAATATATTGAAATACTTGAAAAAATACTTAGTAGCCTATATAAACAAAGGTTAATGTAGAGAAAGTTACTTTAAATTTTTTTAAGTATTTTATTTATTATTTTTGTTTTGTGTGTATGCGTGTGCTGCCTGCATGTAGGAAAGTGCACCCATGTTGTGCAATGCCTGCGGAGGTCAGAAGAGGCTATCAGATCCCCTGGAACTGGAGTTATGAACAATTGTTAGCTGTCATGTGGGTGCTGGGATTTGAACCCAGGTCTTCTCCAATAACAACCAGTGTTCCTAACTGCTGAGCCATCTCTCCAGCTCCTGCTTTAAATGTTTAAACTGACTGTAGGTAACCTTTGTAGCATACGAAGTGCTAACACTTTTCTATGGGGGACAGACAGGAAGGAATGTCCATCTCCTTTTTGTCTTTAAAAATCAGAGAATTGCCAGGCATAGTGGTGCACACCTTTAATCCCAGCACTTGGGAGGCAGAGGCAGGTGGATCTCTGTGAGTCAAGGCCAGCCTGGTCTACATAAAATGATTGTAACTGACTGGAACTCTAGCGAGTTCCAGGCTAGCTGGAGCTACAAGGAGACTCTGTTTCAAAAAGACCAAAAGAAGAAAAATGTCAGAGAATTAAGATCACAGATCACTGACAGTAATGAGGAAACAGAGTCACCCAGTCTGATAACAGTGAGTGGAATAAATGGATGTGCCATCAATAAAAGGGAGGCAATAGCTATGCTCCAGGCACATCAGACAGGCAGAGGCTGCAGCCCCACCTGTGTCTGCCCACACATTAGAACTACACAGCAGGAGCCTTAGCAGAAGAACCAAACACTGTGGAAATAGCAACATTCCAATCTCTAGGCATCTGGGCATTTGGAGGCTTGTAAAAGTCCAGAACCTGGGCTATGTCCTGCTTTTACAATTTAGAAGGCTCCACTAAATGGAAGGCCCATAGTACATGATGAGAATGGAATGAATGTGTATGGGCCACGTTCTGTGGGAAAGGCCAGTAATCACGTGCCCTAAACATCTAGAATGCCCAGCAGCCATTGAACCTCTCCCATGATCCCCCAAAATTCATAAGAAAATCAGAGATATAGTGATTCTTCTTCAGGTAGAAGAAAAATCATTCATTCTTGGAAGGTTGAGTACCCAACTTCAGCAAGAAGAGTGTGGTAGTCTACAAACCAGTCTCGTCAATATTCTATCTCTCCACAGCAGTGTTAATGGCTCAGGACAACTGGTTCTATAGCTAAGCAGACATCCTTAATATGGGGAGAGATGGTCCCTAAGTGATCTCACCAACAATTCATCTCTTTGTTATTTAATTTCCACTGCTGTGATCACCATCCCTGGCAGAAATAACTGAGGAAAGATTTATTTTGGCTCATGGTTTCAGAGAGTCTCTGTCGACTACAGCAGGGAAGCTGCAGGGGTTTGGCGGGAGCATGTAGCAGAGGCTGTTCACATCATGGTAGACCAGAAGGAGAAGGAGCAGCAGGACTCAGGAGCCAAACTATAACCTTCAAAGATGTCCCTGGTGACCTACTGCTTCCAGCTAGTTTCCATTTCCTAAAGGTTCCACAGCCTCCAAAATCAGCACCACAGCTGGGCAACAATTTCTCAAAAAGTAATCAAGTGGGAAACATTTCTGATTCAATACACAAAAAAAACACTCTTTTACTTTGCAAAATATTTCACTGGTCAATTAGCAATTCTTTCTTTTTTTCATGTGTCTGGTGTGGTATGGGCACATGTGGGAGGGGTGCACATACATGTGTGTGTGTGTGCATGTGCCTGTGGAGGCCCAAGGTTGATGTCAGAAATATTCCTGGATCACTCTTCTACCTTATTCAGTAAGACAGGGTCTCTCTACCAAACCCAGAGTTTAACAATATGGCTGCTCTAGAAAGCCAGCTGGCTCTGAGGGTCCCTTGTCTTTGCCTTCCAAGCTGGAAAGCCACCACACCCATCTGGGAATGGTGTGGAACATGGGTTCTGGGAATCCAAACTCCAGTCCTCATGCTTTAACCACTGAAACATCTCTTTAGCACTCAACTAGGAATTCCTAATAACATTTTTATTTAGGCTTTCTACATGAATGTCCCTAAAAGATGGAGTCAGAGCATTTTGTTCAACTATAAATCAAAAGACAGATGATAATCCTGATGTTTAGTTAAGTGATTAGCCAACTAATTAACCATATTGTACTAAATTCTAGTTATATTTATTTGCAAATCCTTGAAGTTTAATGTCTTGTTATCTATAATACTTCCAATGCCCTCTATCACTATTGCTATAAGTCACTGAAAACACTAATACAAAAATCTCATACAATCTCTCACTGCCTCATTCATCCATCTGTAAAAGGGGAACAAATGAGAAAATGAAACAATAAGATTTTAGTCCCTAAACCATGATGCACCCTAGAACAGATTTGTTTTACTTTTGGAACCCAGATGACGATGAAACAATCTCAGAGCACACCCAACATAATTACAGAGCAGGGCTAGCATTGAAGCCCTTACGGTGATGTCAAAAATGCCACACAATGAAAACTTCTGAATTGGTGCAACACGAGGCAGACATGAAGTTCTTTACAAGGTCTGACCAGTACATCCAAAAGCGCCCAACTGCCAAAATATTCACAAGCCTGGATGAAACTGTTTCCACAGTGTTTGACCTCTTTTGCCAAAGCTGCATACTTGTTTGTTTTTTTAGGTGTGCTTTGCTTTAAAAGCTTCTAAGTAGGACAGCTGTATCAGTAAGTCCTGGTGTTTTGTTAATGTCTCAAAGTTTACAGGGTATGGTCTAACAATCCAATGTTTATTGGATTGTTATTATGACCCTTAATTCACTTTGAAGCAGGGTTTGTTTGGTTTTTTTTTAGGTATTGTTCATTTGTAGTCACAACATTACACTAACTCCTTTCTCTTTTTTCAGATCACTAATATTATACTATTTCCGTACTATTTTATCTAGAAACAGCCAAAATCAGGTATCTTGTCCAATCACCAACTAAATCTTCAATAGCTATAAACTTCAGATAGTTTTCATGTAAACAGCTCCAACATGGGTGGTCAAAATCAACATCAATAAACTCCTGTCCATTAAACAGGCATGAAATAACTCTTTATTGGCATGATTTTGGCTAAGTTGATGGAAGGTGTCTAAGGAAATCATTTTGTTCTTTGAAATCAAGGTTGGGACATTTGCTCATTTTGTTCTTTTTTTTAAAAAGTTTTTAAATTTTATTTATTTTATGTGTATGCGTGTATTACCTCCATGTAGGTAAGTGCACCGGTGTCGTGCAATGCCCGAGGAGATTAGAAGAGGCTGTCAGATCCCCTGGGACTGGAGTTACGGACGATTGTTAGCTGCCATGTGGGTGCTGGGATTCAAACCCAGGTTTTCTGCAAGAACAACCAGTGTTCTTAACTGCTGAGCCATCTCTCCAGCCCCACTCATTTTGTTCTTAAAGAAACTTTAGATTACAATTACAATTGCTACAGAATTCCTAAATTCAAATTGTGAAACCAATACAGATTGATAATTATAATTCCCATTTCACCTTCTTTATGGAGTGATCATTTTGGGAACAGTGATAATATGACTTCATCATTTACCTACCAACTTTTAGGTCTATATGAGGTCTTGTTAAAACCGAAAATAATAAGCTGAGTTATGCAGGTGTATTTTGGTTTAATTTCTTTGCTTCCTTTGATATATTTTAAGATTTTTTTTCTGTACTTAATGTCACCAGTGTTTCTTTAACTGGTCTTTCATTAATAATTCTCAATTACGAAAGTAAATATTTATTACTAACATTTTTCCTAAAATAAATAGCCAATTAACAAATCTGAACTTGAATTTCTACCCCTCACAAGTATGTTTCTCTCCACTCACTCGCACTAA